GGGGGAGTTTCTTTGGGTTTGGCCCAGGGGAGGGGGAGAAGGGGCCCCGCCCTTTCCAAGAGGGGGGGGGGGGGGGCGCGTGCAGCGGGTTATTTGGAGGTGGTGGTGTACGGAGGAATCGGGTGTCACGCAGGCGAGCGTAACGCCGGCACGGAAGCACCAACAACACACGAACCCCACGCTCGCCAAAAAAAAACACCAAACAAGGAAAACTCACATTTTCCTGGACGGAGAATCCGCTGCTCTAGCACCGTCGGCTCGGCCATGGATACGACCGCGCTCTTCCCCCGCCCCAGGCGCGACCCCTTCGACTCTGGCGTTTAACTTGCCCATGCCCATTTTCGCCACGTCCTTCATGCATCAGCGCGGCGGAATAGAGGCGATCGGGGAACCGGAGAAACACAAGTCGGTCATCACACAACACCATGAATTCATTGCTAAATATGTCCCGGACTCTCCTTATCTGTGGAGGAGGTGCAGTTGATGAGCTTTCGTCACGAAATAAAGAAAAGAGACAGGAAAGCGCTCAGCCATATAACGTATCTACGTGCCGTGGAGGGGGAAGTGAGATGGGGCGACAAGAAGTGATGGCCCAAGCTTCAGACGCCCGAACTTATGTAAGATTTTCTTGGGATGGAATGAGAAAAAGCACGAAATATTGATGCTGTAGCACGTTTCCAGCTTCATTCGCGCACCGGATGCTCTAAATAAAATTCTAACAACATGCCATGAAACTACTGTTCTTCCAAAGCAAAGCACGCTTCGGACCACAGCAAGTGTTGGTCACCGTTCTCAAAAAAGCACACCAAATGAGTTCCCGACAACCGCAACATCACTCTCCCGGAGCTTCAGAAATGATGTACGCTCCTAGCTCCCCGAACCGCGACAGAAACTCGAGCAGACCGAACGATCAATGACCTGTGAAGCCTACCCCACAGGGCTACTCCGCACGGCGAACGACTCCACCCACACACTCACGGGCTCGCCCAGAAGCAAGAGATGCTACTATACTAGACAACGCTCGCAGTGTTCTACACGGCAGCAAAGTAACGTGGTTTGAATACATCGGCGAATCCGTGAACGGGACCCCAGGTCATGACCTCATGACCTTCTTAGGCGCACTGAGACTGGCGTCTTGTCATTTGTTAAAAAGCAGTCGATGCTAAAAATAAAGACACACACACGTACACACGCATTGACGTCCTTTCATGGATCAGCCCGCAAGCGTGGTCGATGCTAATAACAAAACGTACACTCACACAAAGGCGGCGGACGTCTTTTTACTGGTTAGCGGTCGCGGTCGATGCTACGAAACACACACACCACACCACACCTGGTCCGTAGAGATGCTCGGGAAGAATCCTATGCTAAGCATCCGCGTGTGGTCCCAATCTATCTCTTCGTCGCCCGCCTCCATGCTGCTCGTGTCCAAAGACTGCGACTGCCCTCGAGACAAGCTGGCTTCGGTGCCCGCGAACGCCGGCGATGGTGCCGGGGATTTGACTGCTGCCGGGGGGGGGGGGGGGGGGGGGG